TTGATAATACATTTGTGAGTCGTGACATATATAATACCTTAATTTAAATACAAATATATATATATATATATATATATATATATAGAGAGAGAGAGAGAGAGAGAGATATTTGCATTAATAAAAATATTTATAGCATAAAAATTAGCTATTAAATAAATAATAAGTATTAAACTAATACAAACTTCAACTAGCGTTATTACAAGTCATATGAACCTTTCTTCGTCTAAAATACTGAAATATTAAGAAATAGTAAATAAGAAAAACAAAAGGAAAATATTTATATAGTAATAACTATTTTGAAGCAAACTTCCTGACAATCAAAATCACATAAGTAGCATTGATATATAAAGTCACTATTTTGTCCTGAGCATCAAAAAACAAATCGTGACAATTCTCTAAGAAATATTGAAGGTTGACCCTAGTATCAGTTATTGTACAATTTCACTTGCTTGGATTAACAAAGGGTAACTAGTTTAGGCAAAAGTAAGTAGTAGACAATCAGAACTCTTTGGAACCAGTTCTTTTTCTGTTATTGTTTTTCCTGGTGACTTTTTTCCCCATTCCCCTAGTTGTGTAGAGTTAAGAGTATGCATTGTGACTTTCAGATATAACTTCACATTTTCCAGAAAACATTTAGTGCAACCAAACAGTTTTTGTTATTTGTGATCACACACATCTTTTTCTTAAATATTATCTGTTTGTTAGTTACAATCAAGCATAATGTTCTGATACAAGAGGAAGAGTGCAATCAACATATAAAGGAATTCTGTGTTAATTTCACGCAATATGAAGAGCAACTAGATTATGGAGTATGCATTGTTTGTCCTAGAATGTGATTTGCTTTTAATCTCTTTGCTTGCAGAGCTGTCGACATATATCCACTCTGAGGAAATTCTGCTGGAAAACAAATGTCTGAAATAGAGAGGAGATTTCTTGGTACTTTTTTGTTTTGGGCAACTCAAAAAGGAAGGATTAAGGAGGGGAGATTGCGCGAACATGGAATGCAAGTCGGTGACACTGTCTCGGGACCAAGGGCAGACTTATCTTCTGCTGAAGTCAAAGAAGGTTATAAGTTTCTCCTTTCATTGGTTCCAGGGAGGTGGCCTTTACCAAATTTATGCAGCCCAGTGTTTCAGAAATTCATTGAGCACATCCTTCAGAATGTGAAGGATCTTCTCATCAACAAGAAAGATTTCGACAAGTTTGTACTTCTGAAGAAAGAGTTTCAAGTCCTTGAAGAAAGTCTAAAATATCTAAAAACCTTCCTCAATTTCATAAAAGATGCAAGCATGGAGCTAGAGAAATCCAACATTCTTTTTAATCATATAGAGGGCATCACAGTGAATGCTGCATACATATGTTACCTTTGTTATGTGGAAGAAATGGATGGAGATTCAGCATCTGTGTTGACACTTCAAATCTCTCATGTTTTGAAATATATCAAGCCCATTGATCCGGACGTTGCAGAAATCTATACTGGAGCTCTAAGAGGTTCAGTTAAATTGCAAATCCAATACAGCCGGGATGTGATAGAATTTGTTGAAGGTTTTGTTCATTTCATCTTCAAGGATTTGTTGGAGTTATCAGACGGTGAGGCATGTTCTTTGATGCTTCCTCTTAAAAAGGATCAAATCAAAAGCCTTGCCGAAGCATCAAAGCAATTGGTAACTTTGCTCATTTGTCCACCAGAAGATTTATATGTTATACAGGAAAAAATGAGTGACAAACTTACTTGCATTGAAGGTCTGATTGCTGAGGTAGTATCTGTTGCTTTCTCTTTCGATTGCTGAGGTAGTATCTGCTGCTTTCTCTTTCTCCGTTGACAAAGCAGCAGAAGTTAACTCGGTATTCAGTGACTTGTTAAAAAAGATTGAACATGTCATGGAAGATCTAAAAGATGTGATTCTGAAAGATGTAGTGTCATCAAAATGTAATTTTCCTAGGACAAATGGATTGGGGTTTATCGATTATCTCTTACGCTATCTGAAAGAGCTGCTGCAAGACGGAAAGTGTGATTCTGTTGTCAAGCATCTTATTGAAGAAGCTCAGGAAGAGTTATATCTCTTAAGATACTTCTTGAAGGAAGTTGAGAAGAAAAAACATGAGTTTGAGGAGGTGAAGAAACATGATCTATGGACAGAAGTCATATCTCTAGCATACCAGGCAGAATGCATAATTGATTGCCTGGTTACCGGAGATTATCCTGTTTGGTATCTACATTTGTTATGTAAGATCACAACAGAAACTAAGGTTGTAAGGGATCATTTGAAAGAGTTCCATGCTACGATTACGCAAGAAGTTGAAGTCCCAATCGAAGAACAAGCACCAAATCCTGTCAGACAAGTAGTTGAGACTACACTACCTGATGAGGTAATGGTGGGTTTTAAGAACGAGGCTGACTTGCTAATCGAACAGCTCACTACAGGACCAAAGTGCCTAGTTGTTGTGTCTATTGTAGGGATGCCTGGTCTTGGAAAGACTACACTAGCAAAGAAAGTTTTTCATGATGAGAAAATGCGGCTTTATTTTGACATCCAAGCTATGTGTCGTGTTTCCCAAACTTACGACAAAAGAAAGTTGCTGCTCGGAATTTTAAATCAAGTCAAATGTTCTAACCAACAGAATGAGAAAAATCCAGCAGATGCTTTGCGGAAATTTCTGTTAAGAAAGAAGTACCTTCTCTACATTGATGACATATGGAGTGTTGACACATGGGAATACTTGAGCAGATGCTTACCGGATAATAAAAACGGAAGCAGGATTTTATTAACCAGCCGAAACATTAATGTGGCTTCCAACATTAAATTTGAAAGAGTACTTCTTGAACTTCGTTTTCTTGACAAAAATGAAAGTTGGGAACTAATGAAAATCAAGCTGTTCAAGGAACAAACTTGCCCACCAGACCTATCAAAAGTAGGAGAAAACATCGCAAGTAAGTGTAAAGGACTACCTCTCCTTGTGATTTTGGTTGCTGGAGTTTTGTCTGGGATAAGCAAAAATGAGGGAAGTTGGAGAAGAGTCGCAGAGAGTATAAAGTTAGATACTGTTACTAGTGCAAAAGAGTGCATGGAGGTTATAGAACTGAGCTACAAGCACATGCCAGATCATCTCAAACCCTGCCTTCTATATTTTGCATCATTTCAGGAGGATGAAGAAATTCCACTCTCAAACTTGGCATGGTTATGGACTATCGAGGGATTGGTGCCAAACATAGGGCTCGATGCAAAAATTTTACTGAATGATCTCATCGGTAGAAGCTTGATAATGGTGAGCAAGAGAAAGTCCACTGGAGGAGTCAGAACATGCCACATTCATGATATGTTACATGATTTTTGCATGACAAAGTCTAAGGAAGAGAAGTTTATGCAACTAACAAGCACCGGGAAGACTGATTTGTCTAGTTCCTTTTATGAGCACCGGAGGCTTTGCATTCATCATAGCCTTTATTGGGCAGGGAAGATTGGAAACATGCAAGTTCGATCTGCATTCTTCAGACCCCCGAAATCTGGCTGCCAGGAATTTCTTGATCTTGAGAACTTTAAACTATTAAGAGTACTACAAATGGAATGTACTATGTCGGAGAGTTCATTCCAGAGATCAAAAGAGCTGATCCATTTGAAGTACTTAGGAATCAAAGGCTATATGGTATCTATGCCATTATGGATATCGAACCTTTCAAACCTAGAGGTATTGCTTGTAATAACAGTAGGCAGTGGCACAATTTTACCGATGACCATCTGGAATATGCCAAGGCTAAAGCATGTACATGTTGAACCTGTTGCATCTTTTGATGGACGCATTCCTCAGACATCGACAAACATAGAGACCTTGGCCACAGTGTCTCTCACTAATGAGCTAGTAGACTACATGGTCAAGAAGGCAAGCAGACTGCGAAAGCTCAAATGCCACTGTAAAGAGCCTCTCAAACTCAAATTACATGCTCTTCAACTTGAAACACTCAGTGTAAACGGTAAGATTTTGAATTTCACCTTTCCCGCGACACTAACAAAGCTAACTCTATCAGATGTTTTGTTGCCACAAAGTGAACTGTCTAATATCGGAAGATTACCAAATTTAGTGGTTCTCAAGTTGGAACATAGAGCATTTCAGCAGGAAAAATGGGAGATCAAAGATGAAGAGTTTCTGAACCTCAAGGTTCTTAAATTAAGATCCCTTACAATAACAACATGGAATGCCTCAGATGAGTCCTTGCTTAACCTCGAACAGCTTCTGGTAGAAAACTGCTTTAATCTTCAAGAAATTCCAGTTGGAGATATTCGTACTCTAAAGATAGTTGAAGTGAAACGATGTGGTGAGTCTCTTGAAAAGTCAGTCAAGGACTTTAAAGAAGTGCAAGAAGGATATGGAAATGCAGAGCCCAAGGTCCTTATTTACCCCTTGCATATAAAAAACGGCAACACTGGTTTAACAGGTAACTGACTCAAGATTAATTGCATCATCTTTTGAGCTTGTACACTTTTACCTGTTAAATCTTTCGTAAAATATATTTGAGAAGTGTTTCTTTGCTGTGCAGAAATAGAAGATTGCGATTGAAAGAGGGGATCTAATGGACCAGTTTTTCTCTTAAGCTGTTTCCTCTGTTCATTATGCATAATCATATCCAGCTAGATGGATAATTTTCTTGTTTTTGAGTTTTGTGTGTACTTCAAAAAAAAAAATTCAATGGATCCATTGCATTGACATATGAACTTTATTATATGATATTTTGTATGCTTTTACATTAACACCTTGTTTGGATGGTAGTTACCCTTTATATTGTATAGTTAGTTTAAATACAATACTTGTTTGGATTGTTACTTAAATTTCATTGTATTGTATCGTTTAAATCCATTGTTAGGTAACGACAAAAATTTCAGTGTGATCGCATCGTTACCTTAATATTTTGTTCTCATTTTGTCTTTACTTATTATTTTATAATTCAATTTTAACCTTTACCCTACCTTTTCATAGTATCTCTACCCCAAAACGTACTTTTCTCATTGATTTATCAATCAAATTGTTGATGTGTGATATTTATGTAACGATGGAGAACAATACAATCTATCCAAACATAGCATACATTAAAGTAATACAGTATGCACAATACAATATGCAACAATACCCACCATTTTCACCTCATCTCCGCTCATCTCTGTCCACCACCAACTCCATGTCTTCTTCTAGATCTACAAATATACCCACCATTTTCACCTTCAGCAAAACAGAAATCGGCAAAAAAATAAAATGGTAAAATTGTTAGAACAATAACAAAACAATTTCTTAGTTGATAACATGTTCTTGAAGCTCTAAAAGCTCTCCCTGTGCACGGCCGCTTGCCATGGGCAGGAGGCCAAAGAGCACAAACCTAGCTGAAGCAAGCACACTATGAGGTACACAAAAGAACACGCAACCTGGTAATGGGGGACCGACACAGCTTAATTGGTGACAACAAATTAATTGGTGAAATTGATTTGGGGGATATTAGCTCTAAGGTAGAGTATTGGCACATTCCTATTGTTTGCTATGTGTTGGGTGCACACCCACCATATACAGTTCTTAATGGATTTATCCAAAGAGTGTGGGGTAAATATGGAATCAACAAAGTGGCAATGATGAGGAATGGGATTGTCATGGCGAAGTTTGATAGTGAGGAAGGAAAATTGGAGGTGTTACAGGGAGGTATCTATCATTTTGATAACAAGCCGTTGATAGTTACGCTTGGACTCCAGAAATGGAGTTTTCTAAAGAGGAACTTCTGACCGTACCAATATGGATCAAACTGCCAGGATTAGATTTCAAATATTGGAGTGCAAGGGGTTTCAGTAAGATAGGTAGTCTAGTAGGTAAACCGTTGATGGTTGACAAACAGACTGAAAAGAAATTGGGATTAAGCTATGCTCGACTGTTGGTTGAGGTTAATGTGGGGAAGACACTACTTGAAGAGGTGTTGTTTAGAAATGAAAAGGGTGTGGTAATTACACAATCAGTGACATATGACTGGAGGCCATCTTTATGTGACCATTGTCATAAATATGGTCATGATAAAGATAATTGTAGGAAATTACATCCAACACAACAGCATGTGGATGAAACGAAGGAAACCAAGGAGGAGGACAAGATGCAGGCTAATGCGCGAGTTGATAAGGGGAAGGAGAAAGTGCAGCAGATTTGAAAGTATGGGTGGCAATAATAGGAGGTTTCAGCAGGGAAGAAAAACGATCGAGACTCAGCATGTCAGTGCAACAAATGCTTTCAAACCTCTTACTATACGAGATGAGCCTGAGCAAGTTTCTAATGAGGGAAAGGATGGTAACATTGTCCAAACCCCTCTGGGGAATGGTTACTCTCCTTTGTTGGAATGTTCGAGGCCTAAATGGCCTCAATAAGCAGAGGGAAGTGATGTACCTCTGTAAACAGCTTGATGTTTGGGCTTCTCGAGACCAAGATTAAACATAAACGTATTAATAGGGTTGCAGTATCAATGTTTGGGGGATGGAAATACAACTCTAATCATAGTTCTCACCATAATGGTCGGAGTTTGGTGGTATGGAAAGAGGATGTCTGTGAGGTAACTATCTGTAGTGAATCTGACCAAGCTGTAACTTGTTTGGTTAAGTATTTACCTCTACAGAAGGAGTTTTATAGCACCTTTGTATATGCCCAAAATGGGAGGGAAGAAAGAAAAGGATTATAGAGTTATCTTACACAAATAGGATATGGAATGGATAAACCATGGATAATACTGGGAGATTTTAACAATGTATTACATGCTACAGATAGACTTGGTGGGGCACAAGTCACTTTCTCAGAAGTGTGCGACTTTCAAGACTGTCTGGACACCTGTATGCCGGAGGAAATGGGGAGTAATGGGAAGGCCTATACATGGAATGACAAAGGAACTACAAATGGAGTGTTCTCTAAAATAGATTGGTCTTTTATAAATGGAGTATGGGTAGATGAAATGTTTGACTGTCGAACAACATTCATGAATGAAGGGGTAAGCGATCATAGTCCAATACATGTTAGAGGTGGGGGCAGAGTGGTAAGACAAAGAGCAGCATTTAAGTATTGCAATATGTGGAGCTCTCAAGATCAATTTAAGGGTATAGTTCAGAAGTGTGGCAAAGACAAGTCCCTAGGTGCCTGATGTATCAACTAATGCAGAAATTGAAGATGCTGAAAACTGAGATACGGAAGCTACATACTCAACATTTTGCAAATTTGTTGGATGAGGTTAATAAGCTTAGAGGGAAGTTGCAGGTGGCACAGGATCAGTTACAAGCAGACCCTCCAATAGGCTAAAACAACATGAGGAATTAGAAATTGGTAGGGAATTTAAAAGGATGAGCTACTTGGCAGAAATGATGTTGATTCAGAGAAGCAAAGCAACTTGGCTGAGACTAGGGGATGATAATACTCAATATTTCCATTCCATTCTCAAACAGAAAAGGCTTCAACAAACTATTACTCAGTTGCAAGATGAGAACATGCAGATGCAAACTCATCCTAAACAATGTTGTTATAATTGTCAGGTATTTCTCTCAACTATTAGGGGAAAAGGATTTTGGACAACGACAAAAGGCTGAAGAGGTGTTCTTAAAGAATGGAAATCAGTTATTTGTGTATCAACAAGTGCAACTACTTGAACCGTTTACCAGGAAGGAGGTGAAAGAGGCAGTATTTAGCATCAAAATAACAAAAAGTGCATGACCTAATTGTTATAGTAGTGGGTTCTTTAGAGATGTCTGGGATATAATAGGGGAGGATGTTATTAATGTTGTGCTGGAGTTCATGAAAACTGGGAAGTTGTTAGGACCGGTTAATGCAACTGTAATAATCTTGATTCCTAAAGTCAAAAGACCTGATTCAGCTAGTCAGTATATATAGACCAATTTCCTGCTGCAATGTGATATACAAAGTGATTTCCAAGTTGTTATGTAGCAGACTGAAGAAGGTGTTGCCATATTTGGTAAACCAAACTCCAGCAGCGTTTGTAAAAGGGAGTTCTCTAGTACACAATGTCCTTATATGTCATGATCGATTGAGACACTACAAGCGGAAAACTACACCAATGTGTATGATGAAAATAGACTTAAGGAAAGCCTATGACATGGTGAGTTGGGAATTCATGAAGGAAATGCTACATGGTTATGGTTTCCCACAAAAATTCTTCCACTTGATTATGGTGTGTATAACATCAACAAAGTTTTCAGTCAGAGTTAATGGAAACAATTATGGCTACTTTGAAGGGAAAAGGGGCTTGAGATAGGGGGACCCGTTATCACCTTTACTCTTTGTACTTGTAATGGAGTACTTAACTAGAGTCTTGGCAAAAATGGGACAACCTCCAGACTTCAGAATCCATCCAATGTGTAAAAATCAGGCTCTCAATCACCTCATATTTCCTGATAATCTGATGATATTTAGTAAAGGGCATGAGGAGTCAATGCAAAGGATTGTAGAAGCTTTAAATCACTTCTCCAAAGTAACAGGACCGGTAACCAATACAGATAAGTCTAGTATTTTTATAGCTAGGGTATCCGATGTTGTCAAAGAAAGACTGTTAGAAATGACTGACTATGTCGAAGGTGAGTTTCCTATCAGATATCTAGGACTCCAACTGTCCCCAAAGAAATGGTCCAAAATAGAGTGCAACAAGCTATGCCAAAAGATCATCGAAAGAATCATATCAGTATCAAATAGGCATTTATCGTATGCGGGGAAGTTGCAGGTTATTACATCTATCCTATTTTCCATTCATAATTTTTGGGGGGCTGTATTTATTTTGCCTTAGAGTGTAGTTAAAGAGATAGATGGGAAATGTAGGGAGTACCTGTGGGGAGGCACTGAAGGAAAGAAGAAAACTTCTCTAGTAGCTTGGGATAATATTTGTAGGCCTAAACAACAAGGAGGCTTAAGTATCAAAAGCTGTAAGCACTGGAATGTGGCATCAGTTGGAAAACATATTTGGTTACTAATGGAGAAAAAAAGATATTTTGTGGGTAAAATGGGTGAATGAATTATATATGAAACATGATTGTGATTTTTGGACAAGTAAACCCCTTGGGGATTGCAGCTGGTACTAGAAAGCATTACATAAAATGAAGTTGAAGATGAGAGCATGATATAACAATGATAACTATTATTTAACAGGTAATGGTGAGTATTCAGTGTCTTTGGGATATGAAAGTCTAATAGGCAGTGTACCGAAATTGGAGATAGCTATTCTAATATGAAATAGAATCACAGTACCTAAACATCGATTTATCAATTGGCTTGCTCTTTGGGGTAGACTTCTTACGAAATACAGAATACAAAAGATAGATTTCGGGACAGGAGATACTGATTCCAATCTATGTAATAGTGCAGCACGTAAGATGATGAGCATTTATTTGGTCAATGCCCATGGAGTAAAGAGGTATGGTTGGGGATAAGCTTACCATGTAAAGGGGTTAAGGATATGCATCAAGAATAAGCACTGGAATAGAGGGAGAAAAGTAGTGGTTGCTGCTACATATGAAGTTGTAATCTACTACACATGGCTGACTCGAAACCAAGTGATCTTCATGAAGGCAAAAGCTAATAGTAGGTTTGTAATCCAGTAGATAAAACATATCATCAGGGAGAGTTCACATTTTACTGCCAAAAAAAAAAAAAACTTTACCAAAATTGCCAGGAAGATTTATTTTCCTCTGTACTGGAAATTTTTGCAGTGTGATCGTTTCTTCTAACGAACCACCAGCTACTGTCAGATATTCCAATCTCTGCCATTTGAAGCAGAACCGGACCGGCAATTACGATTCTGACCAGAGCTTCTTCGGAGAAAAACGATGATAAACACCGCATATGAAACTGACAGAAAGTGGTATTAAAAATTGGGGAAAAGGGATTTTGATGGCTGCTTAGTGGTTTGTTCACCGGAGATGGAACGAAAATGGATAATTGGCGGTGGGACTATGGTGGAGATGAGGGAATCCGTGGTGGTTTGTTTTTAGGTTGTTAGGAGGTACAGGTGGTTCGGCGGTGATGTGATTCGGTTTGGTTCGATTCGATTCGATATGAATTAGGGTCTAAATTATGTCAATCACGTAAACTAATTTAAATAATATTGAAATGTTTGAAATTAACATGAGTAATATTTTTATATATTTATATTAAAATATTTTAATTATATATTTATCGCGTACATTAAAATATATATATATATATATATATATATATATTTCCATTTCTTTCTTCGTAAAATATTTATGTTAATTTCTTTGCCACTTTAAACTTTTTACTTTTTTCTGTTTCATTAATTTCTTATCTTTTCACTTTTATTATTTTAAAATTATGCATATATTTTTTAAAATAATTGATTAAAAAATGTTCTTTAAATTTTAACATTTTAGTTTTTCTTCTGTATTATTTTATTTATTCAATTATTTTTATATCCGTTCGAAATTAGTTTATCTTAACTACAATTGTCAAATTAATTTTGAAATTAAATCAAAAGAAAAGACAGAGAAAATAAAATTAAAATTAAAATCAGTTGAAAAAATATAAATAATAATGAGTAATTGTAAAAACATGAAGATTTTTTTTTAAACTCAAGTAAAAAATAATTAAAACAAATTACGTGTTCTAACTTAATTCAAATACAACATAAACAAAATAACAAGATTTAAAAAAAAAATTAAAACTAAAAAATTTAAAATGTTTAAAAAATAAATGAAATAATTACACATGTGGAGTCACGTGATATACAAATGGAGTCACTTACCTTGTTGAAGGTGTCACGTAATCACTAAAGGTGCACAAAAATACCAAAAAGAAATTGAGTTCAGGGGTGATAAACAATTTAGTTAAGATGTGTCACGGGGATTTCGTTTATAGTGGAGGGGATGGTACTTATGCATTATCCCAAAATCGATTGACATTAAGAATTGAAATTTGAGAGTATATCAAAACATATTTAATTTACTATGTTCCAAATTTATTATTTATACTAGAAAAACTTACATAAATATCACTATTTTAGGAGTAAATACTTAGATACATTTAAGTTTGCAATAATATGAATTGACTAGATTTTAGTGCATCTAAATTTATCTCGATATGTCTATATATACATGTATCTCAAGATACATGAGGTCAAAATTAGGTGTAGTTCTTTCTAGATATACTATATCCAAATAGATTCACATGTATTTGGAATACATAACAAATCT